TGTTGTGTTCAGTTTACAGCTAAGGTGAAGTGGGCAAGTTCGTAAACGGGGCAAGTGCGTATACAGGCTACTTTTATTACAATATGAGCGAAATTTCACCATTTAGTATGTTTGTTTCCTTGTTTTGTTTCACTATTTCCCCTTTTATATTTCAGCTAAGAGTACTTGCATAATGCAGTAAAAAGCATTTTATAGCAAATTTGTTAATAATTCTGCTCTTGCCCCATTGCACATGAAATAAAATTTCAAAGTATTTTACTTCAAGTTACGCTCTTACCCCATTTTCGGGGAAAGTGCAGAGTAGTTGACATTTTAAACAATTTCCTATCAAAATCAAAATGTACAAGGAAAATTAAGGTCCTAGTTAATATTAATTAAATAGTAGTAATTGTGCAAAACGTTCGATATCAACAGCGTTAAGTACTTACGTTTGAATACTAACTTTACAAAAACTAGTCTGCTCTTATCCCACTTCACCTTACATATGTTTATATATATCAGTATAATAATGCAGAAAATATTGTTCCTGGTATTTCTATGTTTCAAGTATACGAATAGATTTGTCCCTCACTGCACCTTATTAACCAACTTGCCTACTTTATTTACTTGACTTACCACATTTGTTTTACGTCTGTCGCTCATAATCCACATATCACTCGACACATATGGGTATCAAGTAGAATAGTGTTATGCATATTGTTCATTCTCAGATCTACATTATGCATCGAGTACATTAGATATTTCATGAGAACTTTGAAAAACCCGTACAATTTTGTGAATGATTGTTCCATCGGGTACAAAATGGAACATATCACTCTCTAAACTGGAGCTAAAGTAAATTTACAAAATACGCACTAGTGAGTAATGAAACTTGTTCAGAACTTGATATTAATCGTGGAAGCGTGGTTTCCATTACTCGAAATGAATTGATGCTTTGGAAAATGACGGCCAGATGGGTTCCGCGTTCAAACATAGGAAAAAGTTGAAACACTGGACACCACTTGATCACTCTCTGCAGTCCACATTTATCACTATGTGATCACCATTTGTTTGGTACACCGAAAGAGATATTAGGATAACAGAGATTCAACAGCAACGAAGAGGTGCTATACTTCACGTACCACTGGTTTTGAACACGATTTCTTTCATTTTATGGAATTAAAATAAAAATGCTGCCAATTCGGTGGTAAAAATGTATAAAAAAAACCGAGATATGTAGGGTGTTACTTCTAACGCAATGCACGATTTTTCACCCACTTGTAGCTATCTGGTAAAAAAAATTACAACAATAGTTGCCGGGTATAAAGTGTAGAATGGATGTCAGTAAAAAAACAATTCGGAAACAGTTTGTTTTCGTGACAAAATAGCGGTTACTTTGGGCTTCACAAATAGGAACATACATTTTTTACTTTTACATTTCTCTTTATATTGAAGAGAACATTCAGATGAATTCAAAATACATATTAAATGGTCGTATTACATATCACTCGATTTATAGTTGCAGAAATGTGAAATATTTGGCTTCTTGTTATATTCAATTTTAAGAAATTCGATTTTAAATAATAGTTTACATATGAGTAATACCTACAGTCTTTGACTATTCAAATTATATATGTTTACAAGTTTTATTGTATTATAAATTAGAATCACGATTGTCACGTTTACACTGCAGGTTGCGATACGTGATTAATAATTTCATTTCTTTGATATTATTTCCTAAATTTAAAAAAAATATAATTAATATAAATATCAATGAAATTAATAATTATCCTTTTTTAGTTTCATCAGGTGTATTAATTATACTTTCCTGATAAAGTATCAATAGTACGTTCAATTACTAATTGAAAGGACACGAATATTTATGCAAAACACTCCGTATGTCTTATTTCGATTCAGCAATCACTCCTACATGAACAAGATAATTGATTTTCGTATAATTTATGAACCCTCTAAATCGAAACATTCCACTTTAATTTCACATTTCTTCCAAGGCTACAATCATAAGGTCAGCGGTGGTTCACAATTAGCATGAATAATGAAAGCGATGAGATAGCGAAAAGAAATTTGAGAATTATAAAAAAAATTGTAGAATTATTCAGTGTTGCCTTGACATCTGATTGTGAAATCTAGAATATTTGTGAAATTAAATAGAAAAAATGTTTAAACAACAATTACCACGTACACAAATTTTTATTAACAAATAGTTTTATTTCGTAAAGTAAATGTTCCAAATGCGTGCAAGTTTCCTTGAAATATATTTAAATACATTTTAGATGAAAATACTGCACTATTATCAACATATTCACCTTCGGAAGGTGAGTCACATCATTAGATTTAATGCAACAGTTTGTAATAAATATATTTTAACTAAACTTATAGTGTCATGTGACGTATAGTGAAACAGATAATAGTAGTAATTAATAATGGAGAAATAATAACTTCAAAAGAATTCGCCGAAATATTCGTGTGAAAGATTTTTAAATTGCCATCTGCGAATGGCAAAAATGTCTCCTAGTTCAAAGGAGTTACGTAAGTGTTATGGTTTTTAAATATTCGTAATTCTTATTCAATCTTTAAAATTTTATCATACATTACGTAAAAATGCATTCCAAATTTATTATAATTTTTATTATATCACGTGTTTAGTTCGAGTGTATGTTCGAGTGTGCGAAATTCTCCAGTTAAATCCTGCTTCTTGCTCATTGCGTATCGTGTTGTAACCGAACTGAAGCAGAATATGTTAACCTTTGGAACATATAAAAATAGCAGAAAGTCATTCATGAACTAGAATTTAATACTGCTCTATTTCGCAATATTCTCCAAACGAGTAGTGCAATTGCATTTAATAATAAATCTAATTGTCTTCTGATATTGAAATTGGAAAAATAGAATTTCTTTTTTTAATACGTTTCGTGTTCAGTTTTTTTCTGTTTACATGTACGATAAAAATGTGATTTAAAATAGAATTAAAATTAAACTCGAATTAGAATTAAACATGAGTAATGGATTCGATGCTAAATTTTATTTATAGAAACCCACAAATAAGGTTCGTGGACGAACAAACCTCTTATTTGGGGTAAATGTGTAAAATAACGTTTTTAAATTTATTTTTTATGGAATGGTCTCTAGATCGTTTTGTATATTCTTGTCCAATAGAAGCTTCATAATTATATGTATTTGTATTTTTAAATAATTTTATTTAGATGCACTATAAACAAAAAACTGAAAAATAACGTATGATCAGATAACGTATTTTATTCAAATATAAAAAGTATTAATGTCTAATAAAATTAAGATAGTAGTAAAATTAAATTACAATATAATTTATCTTTTTCAAGATTCCATAACTTACGGCGATCTGAGTTTTATTATTAAAATTCGTAACCCGTTTTTTCTGGACCATACGTTCTTAAACTGTGGTTCGCGAAACAATTTTGACAGTAACATTATTTCCCCAACTTTTCGCTTTTGTTCAAATAACTCATTTAATAAGAAATATTTCATGTTCTTGTGTTTCTTGTTACTTAACTAGTTACTAACATAACTAAACAATAATTAAATTAGAAATTGTTCAAAAACGACGTAAAATATCTAGGGTTGGGATCGGGTCCACAAAAAGAATGTTGTTCAAGAGTGAGTCTTCGGACTATATGAGTTTAAGAACCTCTGCAATACGGTTTTTAATAATTTACCAATATATCGATACAAGCTGTTAATTTTGTGGAAAATAAATACTATAGAGCTTTTTTCATGAACAACAAAGAGTTTATGAACCTATACTAGACTATCCAAGTTATTTCAATCAAATTTAATTAGTATTCTCTAATTATTCGAATAAAAATTCATTCGAACTATGTAACAAAATTAATTTCAGTAGTATACAAATATTTGCGACTAATATAAATAATTATTAATTAATTTCAACAATAAGTAATTTTTTTCAAACAATTTAAATAATTACTCTTGAATTGTTTGAACATACATTTATACAGATTACGTAAGGAAAATAATTTTAGTTACATATAAATTTTTTCAAATATTATAAACAGCGAAAAAGTACAAATTTATTAAAATTCTACAAGCGAGTCAATTACAATCTGTAATAAGAAGTTACAATAACATATAAACGTTATCAAATGACATTAATAATTATCCGCGAATTTTTCAAATAAAAATCTGTCCGTACGTCAGAAAGGATTAATTTCAATAACATACAATTTCCTAAATATAATTTTTTCATATAATATAACTATTCTCGATTTGTTCGTACAAAAATATCTGAATTACGTACAGAGTTATCTTGAATAAGACACAAACTTTTTCGTTAAATTAAATTATTTATTAGTTTTCAATAATCATTTCTACAATTCTTACAATTTAATATCTTATAATTTTTATTGTAAGATTATTCGCAATAAAAAGGATCATTCGTCAATCTTGCATAACACTGTTTTATTCAAAGGTTAGTGGAATAATGACTCGTATCCAGATGACGTTCCAGAAATGAATACAGGGTTCAGTAGAGAGGTATTCAATTTATAGTACATCATAAAAAAAGTTAAGGGTTATGTGCGTTCCTTGATACGGATCTCTTTCAAAAACATGGTAAGACTGACCTACTTCACCAGTTCGTAATCGCTGACCAACCAATTGTAATTGCCTATTAGCCGACGTATGGAAACGTTATCAGACTAACTCTGGTGTAAATCGTTACATATTAGCATAAATAAGTTCAAGGCCCATGCGCAGTTGTGCGAATGATGCATTAATTATTTTGCGACATGGTTTTGTCAAATGGTATTAAGCTTTACGAGTGATATTTGTAATTATAAACACGTCGAATGCTAATTGGATATAATGATTCTGGATTAGGTTAGAATGTAAAAAAGGAGGATGGCGAAGTTCCGTAAAAATTTTTTTTATAACTTTAAAGTATACAGAAATTATACAGATATATATTTAAATTATAGGAATGTTTGAAAATTATATAAAAAAATTAGTTTAATCTTAACAATTAATTTTTATTGTTTATTTCGGTAGATCATCCGATGGAAATTCTTCGGAGATGTAATCGTCGTTCAATTCGTGAAAATAAAGGTAGCGTTCATGCAGTTTATCGATATGAGAGGCTAATATCTCCATTTTATGGAAAAAATTAGTTAGATCATTTTTTATCAGTTGTTGTTCGTGATTGGGGACAGTTGCAATTTCTTGTGCTAATAGATTCTCTTCTCCGCGGATATAACTGTCCAAAAGAGATGTAGCTCTTCTGTTTGTCTGAGTATTCAGGGATGGTCCTGAAATTGTTATATTAAATATAGGAATTTGTTAACGTTTATTGTTGGTGCAAGTATGAAATGCTTTATACTTAATATAACGTTTGTGAGATTAATAGTATTTATTACCAACATCATATTTATTATGCGTTGGCCATGAAATTAAAATTTTTACGTCGACCAGAAATAATTGGTATAGAATTTAATTAGTACAATATTACTATAATTTTGTTGCATAGTCAAAAAAAATAACGAAGCATACTTCAATTACATATGTAAGTCTTCGCGTACACTATTTATTTGCAGATATTCAGAATAAGTGTAATTATATTACATAATTTGCAAAAATAACAAAACTTAAAAAATCGATAAAAATATACAAACAATATTTCAAAATCGCTTAATCTTTCTTTTAACATTTCAAATAATTAATAAGTAATTAATAAGCAATTTGATTGAATTTCAGAGAAGAATAGTTTAATTATTTCTTACTGACACATATTTAAGCCTTATTTTTAATTAAGTAAATCATGCTCACCAAATTCGACGTAAAAATAAATAAATAAAAAGTTTCATCCTTAATGAAATTATGGAATACATTCGTAACTATAATTTTTCATAGCTTTGAAAGTGTTATAAACTTGTAACATTATATCATTCTTTAAACAAATTTTTGTAACAGAAAATATTCGTTTATTGTTACTTTTTTGTCAGTGTAACTTATGAGAGTTGTTTTTAAATTGAAAAAGATTATGCAATGAAGGATAAAACACGTAATGCAATCGCAACAATATTGCAGTAAAATCATGATTTTCCTTTTGTGGCAAAAATCTGTGACGTTTTGTTCTTGCAATCACGAGAGATTTTAAACAAAGCTATGAATTATAAACAAAGATATAGGAAATGAAATTATAAAGTTGTGACGTCTTTTCTGGTTACTCGTTCTGTTTTTTTCTGATTCTGTGAAGTAAGCTGAGTTTACATAACTTCAAATAATTGAGTGAAACTAACTATCATCATTTGTTCATAAAAATTGTATTTGTAATATTAGTGAACATTGAATTGATAAAATATTCATATAGTATATAAATATATTCGAGAATTTGTATAATATTACTAGTAACGTAATAATTTTCATGAAATTTCAAGTTTGAGAGGACTTGATGATGAAATTTTGCTGCCCTTGCATTCAATCATGTCATATATTAATATTGCAGAATCCGCTATTTGATATGTAATCACGTAATAAGTTATCCCATTACATTGTAGATAGACTCGTGATATTCAAAAATAATTAAAATTACCTTCATTACTTACGCGGTTATATATAACTTCCTCTTTCGGTTTATTCAGATTATCATCAACTCGCTTATTCCATAAATGTTGTTCCTTAACCGGTGCATCAGAAATACTACGCTTGTTAATTATTCTGTAACAATAATTAAGACTCACAAAATAATACACTCATGGATTCAAGAATACGAGAAATGCATACCCAGAATCTCTGTAGAATTTTGGCTCAAGCAAAACAAATTCTTCATCACTCGTCCACGAAGGTTGATCTACTTGAGAATCATCTTCTGGGTTATTTACAAAGTCAGCTGGAAATAAAATCGTATCTTCCTGCCCTTCGTCGGTAGTTGCATCCAAGAGCGCACTTTCATCAACTGGACTGTCAACATATTCTCCAATCGGATTTTCATGGGCGAAGTCATCTTGAAACTCTGGATTGAGCTCCGGATGATTTACGACAATATGCACCAATCCCTTTCCGTTCGTATCTTGGTCAACAGTTGGATCAACGTTAGCATCATCCGAATTGACATCCGTGTCTATATCTGGATTAACAAATACTGCCGGTGGAGTCAACATTACATTCAGCGGAGTAGGGATACCCATTTTAGATAAATCGTCAGGGCTGAGACGTTGGTAGGCAGTGGCTACGTCCTCGGTAAGCTCCGCAGATTTTGCATCGCGTAACACTTTCGCGATTTCCTCAATTATTCTGTCAGCTTCCGCCGAGTCGATCATTTCCTCATTCTCATTTTCTGGCAGATTCTCTGGAATTTTTGACTGTTCAGATCCGTCGTTCTCGGCAATTTGTGCTCGCTCTTTGATATTAAAAGCGCCCGGAAACAGGACAAAAAATCCATTACCGAAAGTCCATTCCAGAACGTTTTCTTCCGATTTTGACAAATTGGGACTTACTTTTGGTTCTTCGTTCTCTATGTCTTTTCCTAAATCTACTACTATCATTTCTGGAACGTTAATTTCGGATAATGGAGAGGATTTGAGTTCGACGCCACTTTCTCGCGAATTTTGCAACCTCGAATTGGGATCTTTAGAAGCCGTATTTATTCTCTCTTCATCCAATTGCTTCTGAAGAGCGTCGACTGTTTTCGACAGAGCATTTTCCGCTTGTAACAAATTTTCCATTTGCGTAAGAAACTCATTGGTAGTGGTCGGACTTTCCTCGAGATGTAAACGTTGATCGTGCAAATTGCGCGGCTCTGATTCCTGAATACTGTCCGTAACCCTGACCTCTATTGATTCGACACGATAAGTTTGCCATATTGCGTAACAACCCCATCCGACGAACAAGAGCAGTTCCAAATACAATATGAACTTTATGCATTGTATCAGTTTTTTACAGGTATCTGTTTGTACGGTGGGTCGAATGCGGGGGGTTTCTTCGTTGCAAATTAATCCATCTTCTATACTGACGAGTTTATCTGAAATAAACGGAATGCAAATATAAAATAGATTGTGAAGCTTTGTAAATCTTTATGTAGGTTTTTAGATGTATATTGATACGCATTTAATTATTCATGTGATACAAATACAGTTATGTTTAAACGAAAATTACTTCCAGTTTGTACTTGTACTTTATATTTGTATCTCTTTGTACTTGCTGTGATGTATTGGAGAATATTTTAGGAATATTATGGGTTTTACGTGACTGATATTTTATATTGCAGATATCGAAGAAGATATAACTATTTGTTGAATTTGGCAATTTGAAAATTTTGAGATTGGAAGTTTTGACATTCGTAAACCTTAAATTTGGGAATTTAAGAAATTTTGGAATTTTCTATAGTTAAACATTGAAAGACGCGTAAATTATTGGATTTGAAAGTCGGAAAATTAAAATCTGTGTGATTGTGTTTTGGAAGCTGGAATATTAAGTTATATTAAGTGTGTAATTGTGTAAATTTGGAAGTTGGAAAATTAAGAGATGTAATTGTGTAAATTTGGAAGACGGAAAATTAAAAACTGTGTAATTGTGTAAATTTTGAAGTTGGAAAATTAAGAACTGTGTAATTGTGTAAATTTGCGAACGTAAAAATTAAAAAATGTTAGAATAGCAAATATTAATTTTTCGCAATATCAAATGTGCAAATTTTTAAAATTTTTAAATGTGTAAACTTCGAAATTAAGAAATTTGTAAATTGCGAGATTTGAGAGTTTAAAAATTGAGATACTTGTAAATTCGTGTAATTTTGGAATTTGTAAAATTCAAAATTATAGGATTTGTAAACTGTGCGATTTGAAAAATTGAAAAATTGAGAAATTTGTTAATTGAGAATTTAGAAATTGAAAAACTTGATTTTTAGGTACTCGAAACAAAGAAATTTAATAATTTAATCAAGCAGTAGCTGAATAACTTTAGTTTTAATCATTTTTTTGTGCAATTGTTGAAACTGCTACAAGAATGGTGGAAACTCTTCAGGTGTACAACAGAAAATATACTACAGAATTTAGTATATAATAATAGTGTTCTTGTATAACTTTGACATATTATAACAATAAAAGTTTTTTTAATGTATGTTTACAAAATTATATCGACCCAAACATTGAAAATGGTTTTTCCAGCGACGTATTATTCAAACTACGTCGTTATTATAATAAATGTGCGATTGGTTATGTAAACTTCATGTAAATATTTGTCATTTGCATCATGTCATATGTGGGATTCGGTAAAGGGCAATTAATTTTTGCGTGGTATGAGTGTGTGTGATGTACGAGTGTGAAACAAAAGAGTGTGAATGCGAAAATGTATAAAAGCGCGACAGCGTCAGAGGCGACAGTCTAGTCTTGGCCGAACCGTAGAAACGTGAACTATCATCAATATATTAAATTTTGTATTCCTTTCAATTTATTAAAATATTTACTATCACTTTAATCCGTTTCTCATCTTCTTGCTCCCATCCTACATATATTTTTAAACGGTTAACTAGTTTGTTGTTGTAAAGTGTTGACTAGAAGTATTTAAAAACTTAATATTTATTTTAGTTGAGGATAAATTCATTATTGAAAATATAATTTCTGTTTTATGTCTGGTTTATGCGTATAAGAAGGACAGTAAGGTTAATTATATGTATAAAAGAAATTAAAAAGATAATATAGTAAGTATATAAGGTGAAGTGGGGTAAGTGCAGACTGGTTTTTCTAAAGCTGGTATTTAAACGTAAATACTTTCAGTGTGCAATGTAAATACTTAAGTTAACGCTGTCGATATCGAACGCATTGCACAATTACTACTATTTAATTAATATTAACTAGGACCTTAATTTTCCTTGTACATTTTGATATTTATAGGAAATTGTTTAAAATGTCAACTACTCTGTACTTTCGCCGAAAATGGGGTAAGAACGTAACTTGAAGTTAAATACTTTGAAACTTTATTTCATGTGCAACGGGGCAAGAGCAGAAATATTAACAAATCTGCTATAAAATGCTTTTTACTGCATTATGCAAGTACTCTATACTGCAAACAAGTACTCTAAGCTAAAATATAAGAGGGGATATAGTGAAACAAAACAAGGAAACAAACATACCAAATGGAGAAATTTCGCTCATATTGTAATAAAAAAGTCTGTATATGTACTTGCCCCCCGTTTACGAATGTTACGTTCCGAACAGGAATCTTTTACAAAATTTCCTTTGTAGTTTTGACCGACCGGATGTGTATCGATAATGCGTATTGCATTCTGGGAACACCCTGATCGAACGCAGTAACGGTCTTTTAATGTTTATTAGATAGAC